TCAAACATTTTAACATTTCATTCTAGATTAGTTAACATTAAGAACATTTGTGGGAAGTAATAATAAACAGTGTGATCCACATAAACATTGATTTCTCTTCCTAAACATCAAACACCGACAACTAACTACATATTTTACCGACCCTACTCTTCCCGCGGGTATCGTAAGACCCGACTAAGGAGTCATGGACACCATGCGGGTGTCCATGGGCAACGCTGATCGCTTACCATCAGGTGATCCGTCTGCTCGTTTGCCTCCTATTACATAAAAAAAAATAGGAACACTTAACAGCACTCTTATAGACCTGCCGACGCGCCCGGATACCGAAAGGCTACTCAATTTTTATCTGTACTTACATATCGTACCATCTCTGTCATTTTATGTACATCACTAGCTGTTGCCGGCGACTTCATCCGCGTACAATAATTACTTCTGGCAAAATTTGAGTTTTTGAATTAGTCTTTACCAAGGAATATTATACTGATGGTATATTAACTCGTCGAGTACCGGTTTTGTAGACACAATTATAGAACAATAGGTTGCGGTCACCGGTGACCGCTTGGTGTTCGACAGTTTAATGGTTTTAACCCGTACAGTGCCCGTCTCGTGAGGTTTCAGTGATCAAAAGAATTCTATCTCCTTTCCCAGGTTGCAAATCATTTTTGTACCAAAAATCAACTCTCACTTCCCTAAAATGGGGGAGAGGGGGGTGGAAGTTTGTAAGTTTTTTTTTAATGTATATTTGATGGGCCGACGTTTGATCATTGTATCACCTGGTAGTAAGCCATGATACGGTCTACGATGGAGCACGTCGACCAATGAGCAACCTATTCACTCGAGCCTTAAAGACACCCAGGTTATACAGACCCTGACAAAGAATTCCACTCCTTAGCAGTACGCACCAGAAAGCTTGTTGCGAAGCGCTTCGTGCATGTGGGTGGGACATCTACCATGAATCGGTGACGCTTCCCCGATTGTCTTGTGGTACCACAATGTACGATGATGGAAAGGATTAGGGGGAATTAATGTGTGCAATTATCATTGGTATGCGGATTATTAGTATGTCACCAGCAAAAAAATTGTGCATCATTTCTCTTTTTTATAATCCTTTTTCTTTAAAATCGCAGAGTTTTAGAGTAAAGCTAAAAAGAGTAAAGCTAAATAATAGCATGAGTTACTCAAAAAGTACATAATTATAAATATGCGTCATTAGATTAAATGCTGTCACAGAGTGCGTATTAGAATTTTAGAAGTAAAGATTCACAGCTCACTCACAGCAGCACAGCCCATAGGTAATATGTAGCCTACACGTTGACCGGACTACTTAGTATGTAACAGTCACATATTTTATCGCTCACTATATTTATACTTGTGACTAATAGTAAAGTATTTCAAAACACTATAATGCCAAATAGTAATATTGTGGATTGATTTAGTTTTCGAACGTGGCAACACTATCTCAGTCGGATATTCGCGCGGTTTTTGTCTTTGACAGCTGACTCATATTTTTTGTAAAACAAGTGAATACAAATTATTTTTGGATTTGAGTTTTAATTGATCATCATCCTTCTGAGCGTTTTATTCATGCAAAATTTGGAGTAAATCCTTGCAGTATCCGTGCATTTTTGTGTTCATCCCGGACATACATACAGACAAAAATTCTAATAAAAACCATATGCTTGGCTTCAGTATTGACTGTAGATCACACCCCAAGCATTCTATATAAAAAAATATTCATGCCCGAATACTGAAACGTTACTCAATTTTAAGTCACGCTTAAGTTTAGTTCTGTCTCCACTTATTCTTTATGAATGACAGAGATGGCACGATATTTAAGCACGACTTAAAATTGAGTAACGTTTCAGTATTCCGGCATCAATTTACAGTTTTGACTTTTCTACGATTTTATTATCGGTATTTTTTTTTTAATGGGACAGCCCCGCCACAACCTCCCAAAACCGCTGCAACTCCTGTGCACCAGGATCTACATTAGATACAACCATGAAAACACCAGAACACTGAAGTCCGGCGCGTCCCAGGGACATGAGTAACTGTCTTGGTTCCCGCAACGAAGTGAATCAGAAGATATTATAAGAGGAGAAGAAGAAAAAACTATGGTTTTCACTTCCCTCGGTGAATTACTGCAGGAGACAGAATGAATTAAGCCCAAAGGCACAAAGAAGAGACTGTATAACTGGGTGAAACCCAGTCGCCAAGCACCACGGAAATTTGACTAAAAACTAAGTGGGTCCTATGTGTGAGCTGTTATACTTGCTTCCAATAATAGGTATGGCAAAAACGCCTAAACGCACGGAAATTCGTTCTAGATTCCACAAGGTCCGTATAATAAACTACACCTGACGAAACAATTAAATTATTTAACATAGTGTTACGTTCATATTGCCAGAGATCACACTCCCAGAGTATGTGATGGGCCGACTGCTCGTATCGCAACTCCTTTGTCGAACATTGGCACCATGGTGAATCAATAAGTTTAAATGAGAACAATTTGCTTTTAAAGTTTTTTATTGTCGGTATGTATAGATAGATGATTGTGTAGTATCACAGGATAAAAAGTTAAAAACATACAGTAGGACTACGCCTTTGATCTCGTGTAAAATGCCGACATCACCTAGACAGTAACGCATTGGCTAGAGTTGTCAAAAACATGAGCTTATGGCACCGACTAGAAGTCGGTCAGTGGGTGAGTTATTTTTTGCTTTTTAGTTTTTATTTGTACGGCCTTGTGGTCGCAAGTGCGACTGGCGGTCATAGGTTCGATGCCTGGGTCGGGCAAAGTATTACTGGGTTTTTAAAAAATCTCAGTAGTAGCCCGGTATATGACAATAGACTCACCCCCTATTACATGGGACTCATCACATAAATAGTGGAAAACGGGTGTTACATTAACAGTGGCATTAAATGCCGTAATGTGCACCTCTGGCTACCCCTTCGGGGATAAAAGGCGTGATGTTATGTATGTATGTTTTTATTGGTCTTTAGGTTTTTTAAATAAAGTCCTTTTTATTAAACGCAATTTTTATTTTTATTTTATAATTTTTTGTGTAAGCTATGTAGCTACACAAAAAATAAAATAAAACTGGTCTACACCCGTTTTGCCACTTATAATATCCACATAGATGCAAAGTTCTAATCAATACAAATTATACAAATCCAAACACAAAGTAGTTACTGTACCTACACCATTGAAGAGTTACATTTCGGCAGCACCGCACAGTTTTACCACCTTTGAAAATCATGGTAACGACACCCATGACAATAAATTGAATATTTCTAGTAAACTAAGAATTTTATTGAGTAAAATGTACCACCTAAGCTTTAAAGTTCCTATTAATGTTTTAAGATGTATTTATATGTCATTGGTTGATTCTATCATGAGCTATGCTCTTCACAGCTATGGGTTAACATTTAAAATACATTTAGATAAATTAGAAGCTCTCCAGATTAGATTCTTAAAACTACTTGTTACTAAAAAAATAAAAGCAGCTGTAAGGAAGACTATAGAAAATTATTTAAAATATGCAAAGTTCTACCGATTGCTTACAAACATAAATATATATTATTAGTTAACCACCACCGTACACAGGAGCATGACTTATCTTATGTAAAGAACAACCATAACACACGAACTATGGCTGCTGGTAGATACAATGTACCCAGAGTCATCAACTATTTTGGTGATAGAACACTAAAAAAGAGAATACCGTATCTATTAAACAGTCTGCCGGCAGACATAAGGAGTGAAACAAATTCAAATAGGTTCAAACGAAAATTAAAGTCATATTATTTAGAAATGTCCTAATAATAAGTAAGTAGGTATAAGTTTGAACGCCTGTATAACATTTAAATATAAGTACATTTAATTATAATGTCTAGCGACTCGACCCCGCAGTCAAACCAACGGTTTTGTGGGGCTTAGATTATAAAATACTTACCTGTGTGAGATAAAGATAAATAAATAAATAATAAGAATAAGCCACCATCTTGGATCGAAATTCTGCCAGCGCCATCATTTTCACCACCCTCGAAAACCATGAAAATGATACTCGTGACGATAAATTGAAAATTTCGTGCTGCGGCCATCTTGAATTTACTTTTTGACAACACCATCAGTGGCATCGGTTTTATCACCCTCGAAAACCACGAAAATGATACCCATGAAGATTCATTAATTTCGTGCTGCGGCCATCTTGGATGTACATTTTGACAGCACCATCATTTTCCCCACCCTCGAAAACCATGATAACGTCACCCATGACGATAAATTGTAAATTTCATGCGGCGGCAAACAAACATAAAAAGAAACAATCATTCGACCATAGTGCAACCTCCTGTTTTTGAAATCGGTAAAAACAAATCAAATCAAATCATGTTTATTTGCTCAAACACATGTGTACATACAATAAACAATAGCATGTAAGATAGCGGGTAGTAGTGAAAAAAGTTCGAGACATGTTTGCCGTATACAATGGCGTGCAAATATAGTAGTCACTCATAATGATTGCGAACTAACCGGCATCTTTCGAATGTGGAACCTTATTCAATATTAGACATACACGCGACAAACACGCGTTAGCCCTGAATAATATTATCCCGAGCTACTAACATCGTTTTGTTCGCAGCTCGGGATCGGCCTACCCGCGTCTCGCCCCTCACACCCCGCACGATTGCCCCGTCTAAACGTCTTCGTTGGACGACTGTACACTGTGGTGTGGTGGTGGTAGTATGTAGCTCGATCGTCGATTTTTTTCTTTACTCTCATTTTTATTTACACTTACGTTATTAACTGAATTAATACGTATACCGTCACTAAAATAATATTAAATGCCAATGTGTGCATGAGGGACGAATGTTTTATTTGTGCACATTAATATGAAATTACCTACACCTATACGAGTATATTGTATCACGCTGTAAATGACTTGTGTTCCTACGAAGTAAATAAGTAATCAGCATTGCCGTGTGTACAACAATAAATATCTGTGCATTGGGTCTCTCAGATGGCAGTGCATTATCGTTTTTGGACACAAACATACATTCTTAGTATTTTGTTTTAACTATACTTTGTTGAACTTTTATTTATCCTTACTTATTTCGTAGCAATGTTCACAACCATTTGTGACAAACCATCTTGATATAGTTTGTTTTGTTCTAGTTGTGTTTTTCTCTTTTAACTGCAACATAAATGGCTTCTCTGCTTCGTAAATTGTCTTACAACAGTTACACCCAATGTCGGTCGTTGCATAAAATAGCAGTGGGCCACACAGTGCCTCTGACGTTCAACCAGTATGAACATCAGCAGAGGTTCCGTGAAGCTCAGGCCGAGATCGTTGGCTCCTTGATGTTCAGCCCTAAGTTCAAAGACCAGCTGGGCGATGTTGAAGTCTGGATGACTAAAGTAAGTGCTATTTCATCATTGCTCATTGATCAAAAAGTCGCAATAATAAGCAAATACGACTACGTGAGGTCGCAGGTTTGATGTATAAAATTTTATGGAGGATTTCGTTTTCCAAAGATTGGACTCACCACTCAATTTAGAATTGAATAATAATTAACCTCTTTATATATTTATTCAACTTCAAATTGAGTGGCTGTAAGTATAATTATGGAATGCGCTGCCCAAGGAAATCAGAATGGCTAATAATCGCTGTTCATTTAAATTCAAGGTTCTAGAACACATTCATGAAAAAAAAAATATTTAGGATATACTTATATTTAATAATTTATTTTGGGTCCCTATGTCCTTAGTTATGTATTTTCGATTATAACAATCATGTCTTCCCTCTTTAATATTTTTATTACCTTAACATCGTTATCTACTTCATACTGTCTTTTCTATAATTTTGCACCTACCGCTTTAACATTCTGCACCACCCAATGGTCGACTGTGGAAAAATACCTACGGCATTAAGTCCGCCAATTTCACAGTATATGTGCAACAAATTATCTATGTAAGTACTTGTTCAATGAGTAACAAAACTATTCCGGTTCAGTTGTTAGATTATGCTCTGGCCGGAGGGAAGAGGGGCAGAGGTCTGGCGGTGCCCTTTGCGTACCGAATGATGGAGGATCCAGAGCACTTCACAGAGCACAATCATCATAAAGCACGGATCATGGGATGGGTTCTGGAAATGGTTAGTACATGCCTTAGTTATTTTAGATGTAGGTACCTACCTACTATTTATTTTTTACGTACCTAACAGTTTGATGAAGTAACACACCAATTTTTTTTATTGTTTTCATCGATAAGTAGGTACCTAAGTAGTTGAGCGTTGGCTTTTTCGTGGCCTTTCCCCAAATCTTAATCAGTTTCCTAAATATAACATCTATAAGCTATAAGCTACGATCGAAGAACAGAGATCTCCGCTTGAGTATCGTTGTATAGAGGGTGTGAACGGAAGACTCCTGAAAATGCCGGCAGGTACCTAATGGTAAAAAACAAGTTTTGTTATCACAAAATCAAGGAATTAAATGTTTATTTTATGTAATAGTAGTTGTTACAACTGCTCAAGGCTGATTTTGCATTATTATCATGATAGAAAAACGATTAAAATTGTAAAACAAGCATTTTGTCAGCGTTTCGTTTATACCCTGTACAATATATGCGTGGAAGTCCTCTAAGATACATAAAGCGATTTCTGAATTTAATCAGTTTGTCTATTCTGTATTGCCATACTTTTGAATCCGCAGTGCCACTCCTACCTACTCATAATAGATGACATAATGGATGCCTCTAAGACTCGCCGCGGCCAGCAGTGTTGGTACCTACGTGACGATGTCGGTATGGGCGCGCTGAACGACAGCGGACTTATATTCACCAGCGCATTCGAAGTCTTGGAGCAACACTTCGGAGATGATCCTATTTATGGAGAACTTGTTAAGATTTACAATGGGGTATGTTGTTTTTTGTCTATTTATATTTTTAACTAGATTGTATTAATAAATGCAATTTCAATATTCGACATTACTGCAGGGCAATAAAGTCGACCATCGATTGTTAGAGTTCACGTAAAAGTAGGTTAATATGTAGATACAGAAATTTCTTCAAAAAATGTGCTAGTTACAAGGTAATAAAATTTATTTATCGCTCCATATTGAATTCTATTGCGCAAAATGACACTAGTACCACCTGGCCTTCAAATGGATCAAAAACCATTAACGTTCAATCTCTCTTTCCGCAGGCCATGATGCACCTGGGATATTCACCCATTACCTACCATCTAGCCTTAAAATAAACCAAAAAAGCCATTAAATTTCAATCTCTCTTTCCCCAGGCAATGTTGCACACATGCATAGGTCAGCACCTGGACTTCGCATCAAACTATAGGCGGGAGAAGAACAACCTGGACACGTTCACAGTGGAACGGTTTGACGCCATCGCCTTACAGAAGACCGCAATGTACACTTTCAAATTGCCTATGAATTTAGCTATGACTTTAGTTAAGGGAAAGAATCAGAATTTGCACCATACAGAAGAAGTACATTCCATCTGCTGGGACATGGGCAAACTTCTGCAATTAATTGTAAGTACAAATTGATTACATACATACATACATAACCTCACACTTATTTCCCATGGGGGGTAGGCAGAGACCATGGAAAATCATACTCAAATTCATTATTTATTGAAAAGCTAATTGCTAACCAATACCAACAAATAAATTCGATTCGATCAACAATTATTCAAAATAAATAATTATTATTATTATCACCCGACGCAAAAAAGGTTCTCAATCTGTATTTTTGTGCACGCACCTCGCGATTGGCGGAACTGATTTTGATGCGGTTTCAGCAAATTGTTGGTTACACTTGGGAGAAGGGGTTTTGATATATCAACCGACTTCATAAAAGTGATTGAAGTCGGGTTTTTAACAGACACAGCATAGCACTTGTAAACTTTACCATTCATTTATTATAGCTTACATTCCTATAATGGCCCTTGACTGCAAAAGCTGCTTAGCAAGTAGGTAAGTAATTGTTAAGAAAAATTGGCTACATAACCACTAAAACCACTAATGGCAAAAACCGTTGAAGAGTTCCCTTAATAATTACACTTCTTCATCATCAGACCCTTAATGACAGTCCCACTATCTAGGTGTAAAGTTCTCATCAATACAAATGAACCACGCCCAAACACAAGCTAGTTAATATAAACCGTTGAGGAGTTCTCTTGACTGTCTGTCGGCTCCATCATCAGGTCGACTCTAGACCCTTATCAAATTGTAGTGTTTTTAAAAGCCTAATTGATATTATAAACATAATAGAAGCATGACTCGCCCCTACAATTTTCGAAAGTTCCCCTCAGTGTCCTTAGGATTCTGACTTCATGGAAATGGGACCATCTCGAGAGTATACCCTGTCAACGAAAACAAGAATTTTGGAAATTGGTTCACAAATGGCGGAGTAAT